TAATATATCACTCTGAATATTGCTTATTACATTAAATTTCTATTAAACTGCAATTGTTTGGGCCACATGAAATGTTTCGCATATACTCAAGCATACACGTTTTCAAAAGATACATGAAGTTACTTCTTAATTTGTATTTATTTGTATAGGAATACAAATTAATCAATTATAAATATAATTTGTGTATTATTTATATGAAATGTGCTATTCTTACGTGGAGATGATGCTTGTGAGCCACTTTACACTCCAGCTACTTTGGACTTTTTTTTTCCCTAAGTGATAGACTTTATTTTTATAGCAGTTTTAGGTTTATGCTTTGGATTGAGGAACATGTAGAGACATGATTTTATTATTTTATTTTTTCTAAAGATGACAGGTAAGGGGATCTTAACCCTTGACTTGGTGTTGTCAGCACCACACTCTCTCAGGTGAGCCATGGGCTGGCCCTGAGACATGATTTTATTATTTTATTTTTTCTAAAGATGACAGGTAAGGGGATCTTAACCCTTGACTTGGTGTTGTCAGCACCACACTCTCTCAGGTGAGCCATGGGCTGGCCCTGAGACATGATTTTAAATTCAGGTTGGCGGTCCCAGGGCATGGAGAAGGGGACCGGACAACCCTCCCACAACCATGCACACCACACCAGCACCTTGGGGCCTGCCTGGGGACCCGAGTTAAGGAGAAGGGGAATGGACCTCTTTCCCACAACCAGGCACACTGAGCCAGTGCTTTGGGGCCCACCCAGGGACCTGGGGTATGGAGTTGGGGTCTGGACCTCTCTCCCACAACCAGGAACAACATTCCAACAACTCGGAGCCCACCCAGGGAACCGGGGCAAGGAGAAGGGGAATGGTCCTCTCTCCCACAACCAGGCACACTGCGCTGGTGCTTCAGGGCCCGCCCAGGGACCTGAGGCATGGAGAAGGGGACTGGACCTCTTTCTAACAACGAGGCACACTGCACCAGTGCCTCAGGGCCTGCCTGAAGACCTGAGGCATGGAGAAGGGGACCAGACCACCCTCCCACAGCCAGGCACAACATGCCAGCACCTTGGAGCCCACCTGGGGTCCTGGGGCATGGATAAGGGGACTGGATCTCTCTCCCACAACCAGGCACAACATGCCAGCACCTTGGGGCCTGCCAGGGAACCCAAGGCAAGGAGAAGGGGACCGAACACACCCCACAACCAGGCATACCGCCTGTGCCAAGGAGCATGCCAAAAACAGCACCCCCACGTGGGTGGTCCACCAGTCACCACAATAACCATGGCTGCTGCAAAAGTGGCTAGATGGCACAGCCACCACGCAGATGGTCTGCCAACCACTGGAGTGCATTCACATAAGAAGAGTCACCAGAAGAGACAAAGAAAAGAAGAGGATGTCTCTTTCCACAAAACCGATTTCAGAGTGACAGAAGAAACATCTGCTCTATGATAATATTGGGGGACCTGATCACATCTCTCAGCATTGGACAGATCATCTAGGTAACAAGTTAACAGACTAACCATTATTCTTTCAGAAGGAGAGACGAAATCTAGGCAATAAGACGGTGGATGGGGAGGGAATGGGGGAAGGGGAGAGGTTGGACAAGGGGCATAAAGAATAATTATGATTTGTAACAAAATATATGCTAGTAATACTGATTTAATCAACATAACTCAATGTTCAACCCCCAAAATATGTATAATCGATTTTGATTCAATAAATAAAATTACTTAAAAATAAATAAATAAATTCAGGTTGGAATTAGAAGTTAGGAGTAGAAATATAACAGCTTTGTCTTTTTTTTTTTTTTTAAAGATGACCGGTAAGGGGATCTTAACCCTTGACTTGTTGTTGTCAGCACCACACTCAGCCAGTGAGCGAACCAGCCATCCCTATATGGGATCCGAACCCGGGGCCTTGGTGTTATCAGCACCGCACTCTCCCGAGTGAGCCACGGGCCGGCCCCCAAATATAACAGCTTTGCAAATGTGGACTTCAGTATTTCAAACACAAAAAGAGTAATCCTGGCCCATAACCCTTGAAGCTAAACCCTCTGGCAATGAATCCTAGGCCAGGGATAATTTGATAAATCTTTATGGATGCCTAAGGGAAGGAAAATATGAGACTCTCTTCCCCCGACCTCCATATGCCAATTATCGATTTTTTCCCTCTTCTTGCATTTGAAACAGTTGTGGAGCAAGAAGAAGAATCCATTTCTTACAAAGTAGCAATTAAGCCAAGAAAGCACTCATCAGTCAATACTTAATATCATAAAAATCCAGAAAAGCGATCCTGGTCGTACTTTTTTGTGTGTGTGTGTGACTGGCTGGTATGGGGATTGAACCCTGGACTCTTTTAAGACTTCAAAAGTGATAATTTTGTATTAGGCAGAAGGTAGGTACATAATAAGCTCTTACTGGACTTTTTTTTTCAATTTTCACAGAATGAATACAAAACAACCCAGCTACAGACATCGTCTGAAGAATTCTGTCCTAGAACACATGATGGTGGTACTCCTCCTGGAGCTTAAAAATCTTCTTTGGAACTTTGGAAACCAGACAGAATGTTTAAGTACACTTCTTTATTAATTGTATATATCAGAGAGTACCAATCCTTTGTACATATTTTTTTTTTTTTTTAAAAGATGACCGGTAAGGGGATCTTAACCCTTGGCTTGGTGTCAGCACCACGCTCAGCCAGTGAGCAAACCGGCCATCCCTAACCCTTGGCTTGGTGTTGTCAGCACCACGCTCACCTAGTGAGCAAACCGGCCATCCCTATATGGGATCCGAACCCGTGGCCTTGGTGTTATCAGCACCGCACTCTCCCGAGTGAGCCACAGGCCGGCCCTACTATCAGAGATTTTAAGGTAAAAAAAAACTATAACAGGAAGGGAAAAAAACAGGGACAAAAAGTTGCATATCCACAAATACACTGTTATTTCATAAACGATGGTAGAATAAAGAACTACATCATTCTTCTGGTGGTGGGGAATAATTACACAAGAATCTATGACAATATTTGGCTTCTATGTAAGGAAAGAAATCCCAGCTGTATAAAACCACTTTAAGAAATATATTTTAGGGGCCGGCCCGTGGCTCACTCGGGAGAGTGTGGTGCTGATAACACCAAGGCCCCGGGTTCGGATCCCATATAGGGATGACCAGTTGGCTCGCTGCCTGAGCGTGGTGCTGACAACACCAAGCCAAGGGTTAAGATCCCCTTACTGGTCATCCTTATAAAAAATATATATATATATTTTAGTATGTTTTGTATGTTTTCAGTTCATAACGTATATTAGCCTAAACCAATTACTTCATCAAACAGACATATAAGAAAGGATTCTTACAGTCAAATGGAGAAAGCCTGAAAGTGGGAATCTAAAGAACAAAAAACAGCGAAAGAATCAAGTACTGTTCAAAAAGATATGTTCACCATAAGTTGAGATGGCAATAATGATACAAATAACTAAATGTAGCATCGTGATTTACACTCTACAGACCACTTACATTAGCTCTTCACAAAACAGAGTTCTAAAATATTATTGCACTTTTACAAATGAGTCTGACACTCAGAAAAATCAGTTTAATGTTGCTCAGCTAGCTAGTCGTTGAAAGACTGCGGGGTACAAAAAATGAGTAAGGTTCACTATTTGAGACACTGGAAAACCTTCCTTAAATGGAAACCAGCAGAGACTAATGATGTTGGGCAGGCCCACTACTTCTCCAGTCCCGCTAGTAATGGCGGTTCTGACAACATGTAAATCATAAAGCCCTAAGAGACACCCAGAAGTCACCTAATAGCTGAAGTATCTTGTCAAAAGAGGAATTCGCCTAATATGAAGAGCTTAAGACAACAATTCTCCTTAGACCTTCTCCAAGGTTGGATTCTATTAAATATAACCTGAATTAACTCAGTCCTCTTCCTAGCTCAGGCGACATATGACAGAAGTTACCAGTGGACAGTTTCTCTAAAAAAAAAGAAAACACAGATGCGTTTGATCTGGAAAACAAACTAGCACAAAGAAACGAAAAGATTATACCTGGAAGGAAACACATCAGTGGGAGTGCTGAGACGGGGGGGGGGGGCAAAAGTAATCTTTATTGTCCAGATCAGTGGGACTGCTGAGATAGGGGCAAAAGTAGTCTTTATTGTCAAGGTGAAATATTGCCGGTCACGGTACACAGTCCTGGGAAAATAAGTGTGGCTAACTAAAAGCCAGCGTGGCAACTCGGGAAGCCTCACTCGTCTGGCATGACAGTATGCGAAGGTGACCCATGGCAGGGCCCTGGGGCCACCGAGCCAGTCACGCAGTAGTAGTGGCGTGTTGTCCTCCGAGGTAAACAGCAGGCAGCATGAGCACCCGGCAGGGAACGCGGGCGCGACGCCGGGGCAGCTGCGTGACCGTGTGTCACCAGACCGGGGCCCCGCGGCCTGGAAACGCCGGGATGCAGTGAGAGGCGTCCCCGTTCTCCAGCGCGCACGTCCGGCGGGCGCAGAGGCCGGAGGGGTCAAGGCCACCCTCCTCGTCCTCCGCAGCCCCGGCTGACCTCGCAGCCTCTCGGGGGAGCGGCCCCGGTCGCCCTGCCGGGCCTTCTGCAGGAGGCACCCGGGGGCGGCAGCCCCAGTCCCTCCGCGCAAGGCATCGGAGGAGTCGTCCGCCTTGACCGTGGCCGGCCCGCCCTCCCCGGGCTCGGCCCCTCTCCGACCACGCCGCGCCTCCGCCTCAGAGCATCACTGAGCGCGCAGCGAGCGGCCCCTCGCGCTACCCGGGGCGATGGCGCGCCCGCCTCTCGCGCCACCACCTCAGGTGCGCGGCCCTCTGCTGCCTGGGGCGACCGAGCCTTTCCACCACCTTACGGCCGGGCGCATGCGCGGGGCCGCTTTTTCCTGCCGCGCACGCGCAGCTTCGGCTCCGTCCCCAGAGCTGCGCGAGGCGCCCTAGTTCCGCCACGCCCTCCATGGCGGCCGCCCCGGCCGAGCCTAGCCCCGCCTCCCGATGACACGGCGCGGGTCACCTGACCCAGTTGCGGGGCTGAGAGCACAAGGGAAAGCGCTGTCGCCGGAGTCTCAGCCTCGTCTGCCGTCCCCCGAAGCCGCCGGGACCCTCCGTGCCGCCGCCGCCGCCCAGCCTCCCGCGCCATGCCGTCGGAGAAGACCTTCAAGCAGCGCCGCACCTTCGGTGGGTGTTGGGCGGCGGGACCGAGGGGCGAGGACTGGGCCGAGGGCTGTGGAGGGCCGAGCGGGGCCGGGGCTGAGGTGCCGAGGGCTGTGGAGGGCCGGGGGCTGTGGGGGGCCG